GAGAGGCATACTCCCATGACCCTCTTAGCAACTCTGTAAGGGTAATAATCTGGCTCACTGGTCCACGCCCAGGACCAAAGCCACATGTACCTTCTTGAATCTGAGGTTTGACGATCAAACTTAGCCTCCCTTGAACACCCAGGAGTAAACTTTCCTTTAGAGGGAGAGAAGTGTAACCCCACAATACAACACACTCTCCGGTCCTTTATAAAAATGGGAACCACTACCCTGACCTGCCACTCCACAGGACATGGCAGGCCCACAACATCCAGAGCCTTCAGCATYATCCACCCCTGGTGCCCGGCCACCGTRGAGCTTTTTGACTAGATTTGTTCTCTATTTTCATAAAGCAAACATCTTTTAAGGTTTCACAGACAGAACATCAAATTTTCTGTCTCACATTAAAGTGTTTTGCTCTATGCAGTATTCAAGGTATTGCACAATCCCTGTCACGTTGTTAGCAACGCCTTTTAATGTGATTTATTGCTGCTCAGCACATTCAGAGGCTGCAGGTTGTAGTTGAGACATGACTAACATCTTTATCCCACAGTAAAAACAAACCAACTGACATTGTGTTTGTTTGTGTGCTCCCTCAGGTGAAGCTGTGCACAGTTGCACAACCTCAAAGACCCTCCAGGAAGCAAAGGAACTCGTAAAATCATTTCGGAAAAGTTCGAAATATGTTCCCCAGGCCATCACAGTACTGGAAAACATTAGCAATAAGCTGCAACCTCAGGTCAGATAAAGTGTATCTTAAACTTCCACAAGCATTATATCTAATGTGATGACAAAAGAAATAATAATAATTATTATTATTCTTTAATGAAGAAGAGCAAAATAGGTTCACGCTGTCTCTTATGGGTTTATTGTAGCACAATGCGTCTTTGGAGGAAGAATCTCCTGCCTGTGATGTTATCATGAAGGATGACGATGAAGACAAACCACAAATATCTGCTCGGGTCTCTCACCAAGAAGTGTGGGCCCTGTTTGAGAATATCTGGTCCAATGTGCTCCAAACTAGGTGAAGGTGTACAAAAGGCTTGTGTCAGATTAAAAATGTAATTAAACTGCAAGGTTAATGTCTCACCTATTGGTTTTCCACTGAAGTTTAATTGGATGTGTTGAAAAGTTTAAGACCCCTGTGTTTATAGTCTTTAMCTTAATCCTTAAGGAGTTGTTGCGYTAAGACCTTGAGAGGCCAGTATTCAGCAAGAGTTACAGTGCACAACCTTCATGTTTTTGAAAATTAAAGGGGAAAGGACTTATTTCCACTAATAAAATGATAATAAATAATCCCTGAGCCATAGTTCAGCTTATTTTGTTAAGTGTATTTTCCATTCCATTGACCTCTAGGGTCATTTTTTTCTGTCACGTTTCAGCTTGGAAGTGTTCAAAGCGCTTSGCTTTGACCCTCACACTATGCAGAYGACTACGCCGATGGGAGGTCCCGCCCCGCCGCAGGGCGCTTTAGCCTGTTTGCACAAACTGTCCTCTATGGTCTCACAGCTGCTTCAAGCATTCAGCAGGTATGTAAGCCAACACGTATCACTGCTGTCACACTCAACATAACGCTGAATGTTTCACTCATCAATCTGCAGCAATGTCCTTTGTCACTTTTACACTTTTTAGTGTCTTTTATCTTTGATTATTTGAGATTAGGCCTGCAAGCAACACCGCCTACAATTTTGTTCAGTTCTAACTAAGCTCCTTATATAAAAAAAATGCAACATGTAGAAATTTATGATCACATCTGAAAAGGCCTTCTTTAACACAGCTTTTTTTTATTTCTAACTATCATCTTGGCTGTCTATCTTCACTAAATCCTGCAACTGAACAAGGCTTTCACTGGTTGCTAACCTTTGCCTCTGAATTCCTTCAGAGTTGCCCTCTAGCCTTTTGAGCCAGCTATCCTTCCTGTGTCCTGATTGCGTGGGTCAAAGGACCTAGTTGGCATTGCAGCATTGGTTACGCTGTAATCTGCTTGCCCCTGAAACTTTCTTTATCTTTTCCCATGACGAAACAGTGGGCAGTGAACTTTAATACTGATCATTTTCTCATCATGTCTCTATTAAGGAACATGCTAACTGTTGTCTCAGTAATGAGTTCACATAGACTTTTTCTTTTACCTCCCTGTTTGGAACGCTCATCATCTAAGCCAAAAATTAATTGGATCTGAAGCACATCACAGTTGTGTGGTAGACGTTTGCCTGTTTAAGCATGCAAAAAACCCCACAAGATTTCTAGTTAATGTGCTTGTTGCTTGGCTTGTCTGTACTTACCTGGAAACCCTCTGCTTTTACGATGTTTGCCTGTTTGTTTAAACTGACACGACCTGTCTCAGAACTGTTTGTTACAAAACAAGAATTTGGTTTGCAGCACCGGTTTTGCAGTCATCTAGCTGTTTAACGTCATTTGCCATCTACATTACTCAGCAATAACTTGCATAATGCTATGTCGTATAAAAAAAAAAAAATTCCACCGCAACCATTTTTTCCACAGAAGGCATAATTAATATTTAACTGATCCACAAGTAGATGTTAAAATCGGTGACAGTTTAAGTGCATTTGACTTTTAACTTCTTGTTGTTTATCTTTCCACATAATTATAGAGAAACCCTGTCAAATTTTAATTATCCCAAAATATTAATTATGTATTCTGCTTTAAAAAAAACTGAGCTGTTTCAACTCAAACAATAATGCAGCTGGACAGCTAGTCCTTTACTTTCAAAGTTTCATGTTGGTTATGTAAGTATGCCCAATGTTCCTTTTTTATTACAGATCCTCTGAAGCACCATTGCACAAGCCTCATTTTTGCACACTCACTCATCTACAGCAAACATTACACGAACAGGTCCAGACATAGCTGGTGCCTTATTTTTACTCCGAGACCTATGATGAGACCTGAGTCTCTTTGAGGACAAATATATTAAAATCCTGCTTAAAGGTTAAAGGGTCTTCAGGGATCTCTCTTTTTTTATCCAGATCGAAATTGAAGAAATGTTATTGTTTTGTACATAATAGATAATTAGATTTGTTAAAATATATGTTTTATCTGCTTTATACATAATTTATTTTGTATTTTAATCAAATAATATTATTACCTTTATCCTGGCATTCTTTGACGTAAACTGATTGTAATTCTTCTGTCATCCTTCTTGTAGGCCAGATTTTGTTTCTCATTTCCATTGAAGTTGGACTCATACAGGAGATGTCTTTAGTGTCACCTATCTATTGCCATGTAAAACGGTAATTGTAGACACCAAAGCCTCAAAAATATTTGTAGATATTTATCTTTGGCACCAATAAGAGATCATACCTCAGTTGAGGAAACCAGTCAGTGAGTCATGTACTTTAGATAAATTGAGTTTTTTTTGACTGATGTCATTTATTTGAAGAGCAAGGCATCTAGTGGCTGAAATATACTGCTGTTAGGTTTTTATGCTTTATTTTATGATATTTACCATTTATTATTATTATTTTTCTTTTCTAGTAATGATAA